GTCAGTGATGGGAGATTGTACACGTGTTGACCTACTTAAGACAGTGTACTCACTCGGTAGTTAGGTGTAACACAATGGATGTCCATTGCGTGCATTTCACGCTTAAGCTTGTGTAGGCAATGATATACATACAGACATATATGTATATATATACATATACAATTATATTTATATATATATATATATATATATATATATATATATATATATATATATATATATATATATATATATATATATATATATATATATATATATATATATATATATATATATATATATATATATATTATATATATATATATATATATATATATATATATATATATATATATATATTAGTTGTATGTGTGAAAGCATTTGCAACCAAAATTTCTTACAACTTCCATGGAAACAAAGTTAAACAAGGATTGAAAGCGAAAAATGCATGCGCCATTTTTTACCGGTTCAAGTGCGACAAAACGATCGCAATAAATATTTACACGTGAGTAATGTACGTGCAATTATATTTTTTTACCGCGAATAGCGCGTTCAATCCAATTTGACTCAATAATTATTATCTCACCGTGGATCATTAATTAATGCCGCTCGTTTGTAGCGCGCGGGCTCGCGTGATAAGAATGGTCACGTGACCGTGAGGAAGCGGGTCACAGTGACCGGGCCTATGAGGACAGTTTTTGTGTCCTATGATAAAACACCGTATCTGCGGCAAATTTGGTGGGATATTTTAGAGGGGGCAAACAGTGAAGAAAAAAATATTCTCATTTTAGCCCGAGGAAGAAACTGTTTTTTCTCATTTTGGAGATTTTCGGGCTGTTATTGAGATAACAGAGGAGTTTTTTTTTTAAAGAAATTAATCTACAAAGTGTTTTTTGTGTTGATAGCTGGGGAAATTTCTTACAGGACAGGGGTTAGATGATCTATGAGAGGTTTCGATTTTTTGGTCTGGGCTCATGGGAGATACTGTAGTGGTTGGGGGGGGGGGGCTCATGGGAGATACAGTAGTTGTTGGGGGAGGGGCTCATAGGAGATACAGTAGTGGTTGGTGGGGGGGGCTCATGGGAGATACTGTAGTGGTTGGAGGAGGGGGGGCTCATGGGGGATAGTTGTTGGAGGGGGGCTTCATGAAAGATAGAGCAGTTATTGGGGGTGGGGGCTTACAGGTGATACACTAGTTGTTGGGGGCGGGGGGATGGGGCTTATGGGTGATACACTAGTTGTTGGGGGTGGGGGGGGCTTATAGGTGATATAGTAGTTGTTGAGGGTGGGGGCTTATAGGTGATACACTAGTTGTTGGGGGTGGGGTGGGAGGCTAATAGGTGATACGGTAGTTGTTGGGGGAGGGGCTTCATGAAAGATAGAGCAGTTGTTGGGGGGTGTGGGCTTATAGGTGTCGTTTATTTGCATGGCGTCGAAAGGCATTGGGCCCAGTGCGTGTGGTCATACTTAGGTATCTGGACACACTCTGACAGAACACGGAAACACACTGACAGAACATGGACACACACTGACAGAACATGGACACACACTGACAGAACATGGACACACACTGACAGAACATGGACACACACTGACAGAACATGGACACACACTGACAGAACATGGACACACTCTGACACATGGACACACACTAAATGAAAGAAAGGCGTTGTTGAATAGACGGAATAGATAGTAGCTAGGCATTGATGCATGTTGCAAGTGGCCGTTTGTAGTTGTTTTTTGTAGATCAAGTACAAGTACCGTAGTAGCGCTGCACATATTTTTAGTTGTAAGTTTGAGTAGTTGTAAGTAAGTTTGAGTTGTTGTGAGTTTAGCTAGTTGTAAGTTTAGCTAGTTGTACCTTGTAGAAAACCACGAAACTGTGATCTACACATGTTTGTGCTGACGGATGCGGAAGTAACAAAAGATCAAGTATCCTCCAGAGACTTGCCCCAAGTCTTCAAAACATACGCCCCTTATTTTTAAGCACTCGCATCAAAAGAAATATCGATCATGTTATTCTGCGCATGCGCGCTAGTTTACACACGCGGATCGCTTCCCTTCGTGATGCAATTCTATGACGTCACTGAAGGGAAAAAAATTAAAATTCAACAATGTGATTTGACCAGTCTTAAAATTAAACCCTGAGAATGAGGGATGTGTGGGTGTGTGGGGGATATTTTAACACGGCGTTGTGTGGGGGTATCAACAGGGTATCCAGAAATCTCGGGGAGATAAAGGACCCGCCTATAGAAAGTTTGATGTTGCTATCTAGAAGTATGGTTTGACAAGGATAATCTATGAGCTAAAGCTGAGCTTAACAAAGATAATGTATGTGCGTGAGTTCAGTTTCACAGAGATAATCTTCAGCTAGTGCTCCGTTTTACAAAGATTATCTATGTGCTAGATTTCAGCTTCACTAAGATAATCTATGTGATAGAGTTCAGTTTCACAGAAATTATCTATGTGCTAGAGTTCAGTTTCACAAGGATAATACTGTGCTACAAATGAGCCTCACAAAGATAATCTTGAGCTAGAGTTCCGTTTTACAAAGATAATCTATGAGCTAAAATGAGTCTCGCAAAGATAATATGCCAGAGTTCAGCTTCACAAAGATAATCAGTGGGTTAGAGTTTAACCAAACAAAAACAATATAGGGTGGAGTTATGGTTAGACAACAATCAGTTGTTTACATGACAACCATTATCCAGCTGTTAAAACGGTAATTTGACACCGACAGTCGAAGTGTTGGGTCTTAATGTGGCCAACAGGTGTTGGGCCTTAAGAGTGTAAACTTTCATGTCGATCTACCACGATTTGAACACGATTTGAAAATTATACATAGCCTGGTATGAACTAGTTGTTATAGCTCTAAGATCTACAAGTTAAACCAAAAAAGATAAGTAGTTTAGTTTTGTACGTTCAATCTTGCAATGATAATCCTCATTAGGTTGTTAATCTCGAAACACCATTTCAATTGTCTGAGAACAATTTGCTAGTGAAACTAAAATTGCCTTGAAGCCTTCTCAAACCTAATGATATCCCCAGTAATAAACTGCCCAATAAAAGTGAAACTTTCAGTTCGTAATGCCCCATACACTGCCGATTAAAAAAGAAACGTTTGCTATGTTATGCCACATACACTGCCCATTAAAAAAGAAATTTACGCTATGTTATGTCCCATACACTGCCCATTAAAAAAGAAACTTACGCTATGTTATGCCCCATACACTGCCGATTAAAAGCGAAACTTACGCTATGTTATGTCAAATACACTGCCCATTAAAAAAGAAACGTTTGCTATGTTATGCCACATACACTGCCCATTAAAAAAGAAACTTACGCTATGTTATGTCCCATACACTGCCCATTAAAAAAGAAACTTACGCTATGTTATGCCCCATACACTCCCCATTAAACGGGAAACTTACGCTATGTTATGCCCCATACACTCCCCATTAAACGGGAAACTTACGCTATGTTATGCCCCATACACTGCCCATTAAAAAAGAAACTTGATGCAGAATGTGCCCGTCAACAGTTTCCTGAAGCCCCCTAAAGCTCACCAGATCAATATGGAGGGAGGGGGTAATGGAATATGTTTGTGTCGAGTGGACTGTTTTTTCGGAGTTTTACGGTTTTTTGTATCTGTAGCCTATAGCTTTTTTTTGGTGTGATGTGCGGGGGGAGGGGGGGGTACATTTTTTTTAAAGGTACACACTTTTTATGTGGGTATCTAGGGAGAGTAAAATGTGAGAAGAAAACAGTTGTGTGAATGTGTGAGCGCGATGTGAAATGTGAGATGTGTGTTAATGTGTGGATGTGTGAATGAGTCGTGTGTGTCAATGAGTGATATGTGTGAATGGGTCGTGAGTTAATGAGTGAATAGGTCGTGAGTTAATGAGTGAGGTGTGTGAATGAGTCGTGAGTTAATGAGTGATATGTGTGAATGGGTATACGAGAGTAAGATTTCTACCAAATCGCCAGTGATGTGTGATTGTTCTCCTTAGACTTACATGGTAGTCATGTAACGACTATGAAAAGTAAATATTGTGTAGCGAGATTATGCGACGTGTGTATGTGTGTTTGTTACATCGTTTCTTGTATTACATAATCATGGTTATGTCCCTTGACACTTGCACACATAACTTTTCACGGAATCAATAATTTTTAAAATAACAATTGTAATACATATAGAGAACCAGCGGCAATATTTTATATGTGAAGAAACAGGAAGTGGTCGATGTATTGTCATCTTTTACAGTGCGAAACAGCAGATACTGGTAAAGTTTGAGTAGAGAGTTAGAGAGAAGGTAGGGGCTACTGGTAAAGTTTGGGTAGAGAGTTAGAGAGAAGGTAGGAGATACTGGTAAAGTTTGAGTAGAGAGTTAGAGAGAAGGTAGGATTGGCACATACAGTTTTGTAAGTATAGCTGAACTATTGCTAGAGTGTTCACTAGACAGCATATATGGGGACACCATTACAAGCAAGACTTTGGTGCCAGAATTTTTAAAATAACAAAACGTTTTTAATATATTCAAATGTAATTTTACAATAGCACCATCAACGTGTCATAGTCAAATGGTTTGTAAATTGGAACTAGTTTGTGTTAAAATATTTTTCATTTAAAAAAAAAATCGATTAAAGGGAAGTAATTTGGAGGAAAGGTGTGACAAAAAGGGAGACGACAACAACACAGAAAGAACTACTAGAGAAACAGAATTAGAAATATATAGACGGCTAAAGGGAAACAACGATAATGGGAGAAACATTACAGTAAAGAGAGGCAACTATAGAGAGAAAAAAACATGCTAAAGGGAGACAATTTTCGTAAAAAATAAAAAAAACCATGGTTAAGGGAGACAAATTTAGTAAAGAGAAAAAAATAACTAAGTAATAAGAACTATACTAAAGATAGAAACCCGTGATAAAGGGAGATAAAAAATGATGAAGCGAGAAATCAATGGTAGAGGGAGACAATCATGAAATAACTCACAAGAAAATCTACGCTTTAGTCTTACCCCCAGCCGAACATCAGCGCCACGATCGATGACATACTCGATCACAGGCTGTATCGATGACGTCACGTGGTAATCCGGGTATGCACGCCTCGACTGGTGGTACCGGAAGTTACTGTTAGATCGGGTGGTTGGTGGCCGAGTGGCGAGGCACCTTCACCAGAGGCATCGTTGTCGTGGAACACAGAACACACCACAGCCATATGAAAGTCGCGGGTTCGCGGCCATCGCACACTTTTATGAGTCTACATGTTACCATCAACTTGCCCGGCAGAAAATGTTAACATCAACTCACTAGCACAAAGTGTTAACATCAACTCACCAGCACGAAATGTTAACATCAACTCGTCCGGCACAAAATGTTAACATCAACTCAGTAGCACAAAATGTTAACATCAACTCACTAGCACAAAGTGTTAACATCAACTCACCAGCACGAAATGTTAAATTAAAGAATTCTGTTATTTTAACACTCACAGCCACACTCGTTTTCCCAGTGAATTCGTGTATTTTATCCCACACGATTTGCTAACTTTGAAAGTTTGTTTCAGGTTTTAAACACAGCACATAAAAATGTTTCTGTGGCAATTGAACAAAACAATGCAACGAATCAAATTTCTAAACGCAGGTGTTGTTAATTACGGCGCCATCTTGATTCACAGTTTTTGCCGATTAAAGCTTTGATGATTTAGATTTATGAACGCGTGGATGAGCCTACAGGTAAGATGATTTTTACCTGTTACACATTACACGAAAGGTAAATTGTTTCTTAGCTGTAACACGCACAAAATTACACGCATGTTATGGAAGAAATTATCACTGCATGTTCCCAGGTTCTGTTAAATCAGGGGTCGCATTAATCAGGGGTCGCATGAATCAGGGGTCGCATCAATCAGGGGTCGCATTAATCAGGGGTCGCATCAATCAGGGGTCCTACTTAGATTTAGGTTTATTACAAAGTCTGTTAAAGGGGTTCCGGTATTGTTCGAGTCACACAATCTCATCACTTTATGACCTCACTCTGAGACCCCCCAACTTGCAATCCCCACCCAGTTTTAACATACCTAAAACACAAACTTGCTGTAACGTTAGAGCGAGAACCCATGCACGCAACTGAACTACCGAAAACTAATTACATTTGGACGTGGGATGTTCTCAGTGAGTGATTCCAAGCCACGGATCTGACTGCTGATTGTACTCACATTAGGGGAACATTTTGTTGATCTTGGGCAACACATTACACAGATCAAAGGCACTAGCGCTACACCATATAGATCAAAGGAACTAGTGCTACACCATATAGATCAAAGGAACTAGTGCTACACCATATAGATCAAAGGAACTAGTGCTACACCATATAGATCAAAGGAACTAGTGCTACACCATATAGATCAAAGGAACTAGTGCTACACCATATAGATCAAAGGAACTAGTGCTACACCATATAGATCAAAGGAACTAGTGCTACACCATATAGATCAGAGGAACTAGTGCTACACCATATAGAGACATGAGTGCTACACCATATAGATCAGAGACATAAGTGCTACACCGCAGATGCACTGGTTATGTCCACCACAGAGACTAAAATCATAATCTGTGTACAAAAACTCGTGTACAACACATTCCTCACATTGTTATAAATGAAAGAAGAAAAGTCATTCTTCAATCGACAGGTAAGGACAACTGTGAAACTGATAGTTAGAAATAACACTGTGGGACCCCTTCACTGTGGGATCCCTTCACCGTGGGATCTCTTCACTGCGGGACCCCTTTACTGTGGGACCGCTACTCTTACACAGGGTTCCCACAGCAGGGACCCCACAGCAGGGACCCCACAGCAGGGACCCCACAGCAGGGACCCCACAGCAGGGACCCCACAGCAGGGACCCCACAGCAGGGACCCCATTCCCCGTGGAAATCACTCGGCAGGTTAGATCACTGAGGGAAAACCTATTACACGAGGTTCAATCGGAGATCGAACCAAAGTCAATAAACCACACGGTGCGGTGAACGGTCTTTTAAACAACTGTACGTTGATCAAACGACGGAGGCATGACTCACGTTAGGGAACGTGAAGGCTGCTCTGTATAGTGCTGACCACATTACCCCTTCATGTGTTGAGATCAAATAAACAGGTGAACTCTACTTGACCTGCACCATGGACCGTCAGGTTCGATAGGGAGCTTTACGTTGTCGTGCTGATAAAACTCATGACTCCAGAATTGGACAGCTACAACTGTGGTTTAAATCCCGTTATTGTGGGTTGACTATCAACATGATGGGATATCAAGACAATTAACATCATATTGTATCACCTTACTGTACCATCCACACGTTCAACCTCCAAGACGTAGTAACAATATCAACATTGATGTACCATTATACCATCGACGGGTTGTATAATCAATTGTTTAAACCATCAATAGGATGTACAATAAAGATGTTATACTGCTGTATCATCAACCTCTTGTACCATTGTACCATCAAGATGTTGAACTACTGTACCATCAACAGGTTGAACCATCAACTGTTTATACCACCAAGACGTAGTAACATTATCAACATGTAGTACCATTGTACCATCAAAATGTTATGTCATTGTAACATTAACACGCAGCGTAATCAACACTTTGTGTACTACACAGCAGAATATTACCATGTGTACTATCCAACAGTCTGTGAACTATCTTTCCAAAAGTCTGTGTACTATCTATCCAACAGTCTGTGTACTATCTATCCAACAGTCTGTGTACTATCTATCCAACAGTCTGTGTGTACTATCCAACAGTCTGTGTACTATCCAACAGTCTGTGTACAATCCAACAGTCTGTGTGTACTATCCAACAGTCTGTGTACTATCCATCAGTGTTAAGTCCACGTAAAATTTTTCCCTGCGCCATCTTGTAACTGGTTGCAACAAGTCTTTCCCCGGGGTATCTCCTACTCTTTCCAATCCTGCCCCCTCCTCCTCACTTCCAAATTCCCCCTCCCCCCCCACCCACCCACACACCCACACATTCCCCGGAAGCAAAAATGTCCAGCTGATCCCTAACAGTACAACAACACACTGATTAACGACAGCAAAGATTTGAAAATGTCAGGGGCTATCAATAAAAACTGAAATAAAATAAAGATTTCAACAATAAAACAAAATGACATTTCATAACATGTATTTCGTCACACAGCAAACTTCCTCTTTGATCAGTGTGAGGGCGGGGGGTAGGGTTCCAGGCTGGGGTGGGGTGGACAGTGGTTTGACGGTAAACAATAGTTTACTTCTTGTAAAGCGTGGGCATCTAGACGTAACCTGACACGTAGCAGGGGTCGGGATGGTGGTCGTGGGGTCGGATGACTATAGGATGAGGGGGTGGGTCTAGAAAATAAAAACAGTGAAACTAGAGATGGAAAGAAAATATTTCATCTTGACCTTCACCTCAGTACCTGAATTCCAAGTTTGGGTGATCGATCTCATTATAGCTGTAATGCTCTACGATACAACTGTGTACAATTTAGATTGACAAAGATATTTGAAACATCAACATCATCAGCGGTACCTGTGTATAACCTCAATCAGCGGGTAGAGACCGAGTGCGTGTTATTCAAGCTATGAATCTGGCTCGGTCGACATGTTCTGTCGTTGTCATCTTACTGCACACCCCAGACGTTTAGCCAAACTTGCCGGGAGGGTGTGGTTGTAGGCCAAACTTGCCGGCTTGCCGAGAAGTGTTTCCCAAACTTGCCGGATTGCCGCAAAGTGTTACCCAAACTTACCGGCTTGCAGTGAGGTGTTACCCCAACTTGCCGGCTTGCCGTGAAGTGTTACCCAAACTTGCCGGATTGCCGTAAAGTGTTACCCAAACTTGCCGGCTTGCTGTGAAGTGTTACCCAAACTTGCCGGCTTGCAGTGAGGTGTTACCCCAACTTGCCGGCTTGCCGTGAAGTGTTACCCAAACTTTCCGGCTTGCTGTCAAGTGTTACCCAAACTTGCCGGCTTGCAGTGAAGTGTTACCCAAACTTGCCGGCTTGCAGTGAAGTGTTACCCAAACTTACCGGCTTGCAGTGAGGTGTTACCCCAACTTGCCGGCTTGCCGTGAAGTGTTACCCAAACTTGCCGGATTGCCGTAAAGTGTTACCCAAACTTGCCGGCTTGCTGTGAAGTGTTACCCAAACTTGCCGGCTTGCAGTGAGGTGTTACCCCAACTTGCCGGCTTGCCGTGAAGTGTTACCCAAACTTTCCGGCTTGCTGTCAAGTGTTACCCAAACTTTCCGGCTTGCAGTGAAGTGTTACCCAAACTTGCCGGCTTGCAGTGAAGTGTTACCCAAACTTGCCGGCTTGCCGTGAGGTGTTACCCAAACTTGCCGGCTTGCCGTAGGGGGGTTACCCAAACTTGCCGGCTTGCCGTGGGGTGTTACCCAAACTTGCCGGCTTGCCGTGAGGTGTTACCCAAACTTGCCGGCTAGCCGTGAGGTGTTACCCAAACTTGCCGGCTTGCCGTGAGGTGTTACCCAAACTTGCCGGCTTGCTGTGAAGTGTTACCCAAACTTGCCGGCTTGCCGTGAGGTGTTACCCAAACTTGCAGGCTTGCCGTGAGGTGTTACCCAAAACTTGCCGGCTTGCCGTGAGGTGTTACCCAAACTTGCCGGCTTGCCGTGAGGTGTTACCAAAACTTACAGCCCGGGTGTGAGGTGTGAGCCCATCCTAGCAAGCCGCCTCTCACTACTTAGATTTATCTCCCAACCCCCCCCCCCTCCACAATTATTGACAAAAACTCGCTGGCTACGAAGTTCCGTTGAAAGAAAATCTCCGTGATTTTAAGCTCCTGAAATATGCATGACCTGTGGATCTTAAAGCTCTGAAATATGCATGCTCAGCTGAGCTTAAACGGGAGCGACAACGGGACTAAACAGAGTATCCCCACTCTATGTGACCAATTCTTTCACAGATTTTCGGCGACAATAATTCAAGTTCCAATCCTAGCCACATATAACACTATGTATAGTTCTGACTAGTTTTTAAAGAACACAAAGGCATAGAAGAAAAAGATATGGAGTACTTGTGAGGACGGGGGAGGGAGGGGAGGGAGGCGGTTAGTCGCCGGCTTCAAGAGGATAATGTTCCAGTCTTTGGCGGACGGGGGCGATTTGGAGTAGGACTTGCATGGGATAATAGAGCCTGGTCGTCTATTGATGTTCTTGTCCGTTTGTCTTTGTGTCGTGGGGTATTTGTAATCTGGGGGTTTTAGATATCAAGACACTGGAGTCTTAAAATCGCGTCACTGA